ATAATATATATATATATATATATATATATATATATAGATATATATATTTTTTTTTTTCCAGCAAAGACGTGCAGCAGAATAGATTTTGATTGAAATTTATGACAAAATTTGATTTTTTTTATTGGACATGTTTTATAGCAAAAAGTAGAAACAAATTTTTTTTGACGCATTCGGATGCGCTTTTGATGTGTTCCATTGCGTTTCGTATGCATTCCAGTTCGTTTTTTTTCCACCTCTCGATCTTCAATTTCAAACAGGAACATGTGCATTCTGATGTGTTTTTGGTGCATTCCGCTGCATTTTACTGCGTTCCAGTACAGTTCCTGCAGAAAAAAAATGCCGCTGGTTTCACATTTTTTTCTGCAACCGGAACGCCCTGGAACGGCAAGCGCCGCTGTGTGAACGATGACACCGACCGACCACCATATCACCGACTTTCTGTGCGTTTTGGATGCAGGAAAAAAAAAAAGCAATTGATACGCATGGAGTGTGAACCGGCCCTTAGTCTTAGTAGCGGAAGTTCTGCACACAAAGCAATCGCTGACACCGGGCGTGTCTATGTGTTCACAAATGGTGCGAGGGCCACGGCTACCTGCATGGCGATGTGCAGGGGGGTCCCAGGCCGGGTGCGCATCAATACGCCCTCCATGTGAAACGCAGCCAAACTCTCACTGCTTTAGTCATTGTGAGGAGCCGACATCACTCAACCCAACTGGTCACTCACCTATCTCTCGAAACGCACACACTAGCACAAAACACACACATGCTCACGCACAAACGCAAACGCACACACACACAAACGCACATGAAATGCACGCACACAATGCACAAGCACACACATGCTCACGCAAACATGCACGCACGCTCACTTGCAAACACGTACACACACATGCACAAATGCACACACACACATGCTCACACGCAAACATGCACCAAAAAACACAAACGCACGCTGCACACGCAAACATGCACAAACGCACACGAACGCACGCACACATGCACAAACGCACACATGCGCACACATGCACGCACACATGCACAAACGCATACGAACGCATGCACACATGCTCACGCGCAAACATGCACAAACGCACACGAACGCACGCACACATGCACAAACGCACACATGCACGCACATGCACGCACACATGCACAAACGCATACGAACGCACACGCACACTTGCTCACGCGCAAACATGCACAAACGCACACGAACGCACGCACACACATGCACGCACACATGCACAAACGCATACGAACGCACGCACACATGCTCACGCGCAAACATGCACGCACAAACGCACGTGAACGCACGCACACATGCTCAACACACGCACGCACACATGCACGCAAACGCACATGAATGCACGCACAAACGCACACGAATGCTTACTCAACATGCAAACACGCACACAAATATGCACACACACGAACGCACAATCACACACGCAAACACGCAGGCAACTGACCTTCAGCTCTTCCGTTAATCGTTCCTTCTTTTCCTTCAGTTTATCGACGGCTTTCTCGTCCCATCGCCTGGCTTTGGCCTTCAGGTCGCTGGCTCCTCCGGAGATCACACCCGACTTCTGGAACAAAGTGCCGTCCAAAGCAACCGTCTGCCAGACCAAGATGGAGGAATCGTCAGAGAAACGCATCACTACGTCTAATACACAAAATATCCCATCCAAAGCGCAATTCCGCGCCAATCCTTTTCGCCACCAGAGCTTTTTTTATTCATTTTTTTTTTTTTTTTGCACGTTTATTTTTAATTTTTTTGTGTGGGCCAAAATTAACTTTAGTGTTTTTTTTTTTCTTTTTTTTACTGAAATTTTGCGTTAAAAGTCGCAACAACCATTCTTTTATTCTCTACAGTGTCTGCTTTCAGAAAAAAAATAAAAAAAAAATCGAACGCAGAATTCTGCGCCAATCCTTTTCGCTGCCAGAGCTGTTTTTACTTTTTTTTTTTGCACGTTTATTTTTAATTTTTTTTTTCACTGAAATT